AATTAGGAAAACAAAAAAGTTTTACACTATATAATAGTTTAATAAAGTGAACTTTAAACAGACAGCAGCTTAAAAATAAAAATTGACATCTACCTAGGGAGTATTCCCCAGAAAGATTTTTGCTTTAACTTTACATTACTATTCACCGAAAGCTTAACAATATGTGCGAAATATCAAAAGTTTTGAAATTGGTCTGCCTTCATCACATACGATAACAAAGTGGTACAGTACAATTTATGGCCGACTTGGCTACACAAAAAAAGCGTTAACTGTTTTAAAACTTAGACTAGAGAGTAACCCTGACAGGAAATTATATTGTATATTAGTGATAGATGAAATGGAAATAAAACAATTGACGGAGTGTACCATGCAAGTTCTAAAAGACATTTTGGTTATATACATAATGCCTTTGGTTACCACCATGGTATTCATGTCAATTGCTTAATTTTTATTTCATCCATTACCAAGGTACAATAAAAAAATATCAGGGTTACTCTCCGCTCTCAATTTTAAAGCCGTCAGCGCTTCTTGAGTAAACCCTGGTCGGCGATCGATGATGATAGTGTACCACTTATTCAATGTACGTGGTGCAGGCAAACATGTTCCAAAAGTTTTACGTACATAGCGATAGGCTTTTGGTGAGTAATAGTTAAGTGTTAGGGCATAGTATTTCTTGCAAACTTGTGAAGCCTGTTTATGCTATTGTTTTTTATGTCAAGACATTTTTTTCATTCTAATTTTCCTTGGCCTAAGTGTTGGCTCGTACTCGCAGTGGGAGTAGGACTAGTTCGGGCTATATAAGGATTTTTTTTCGAATTGTGAATTTCGAGATAACTTATGGAATTTTGCCGGAACATCCAGCTTTCTTTTTTCGATGTAGACGATATTGTGCAATCACCACGATCACCCTAAAATAAATAATTTTATTTTAGTTAGAAGATTCAAGCTATATATATGATAAAGATATTTGTTTTGTAAAACATGAGTAAATAAAATACAAGTGTTTAAAAACTTAAAACGAGCTACATTTTTGTCATCTATGGCATACAAAAATTATACTACTTAAGCATCAGCATTTAAACTAAATAAGGGGTTTTTTTTGAAAAAAAACACACAAAACGCTGCTCCCCCAATAAAAAAAAAAGGGAACAAAAAAAAAGACATTGAAAAAAAAAGTGAGAATGAAAACACGTTTTTACCAACCACAAAAAAAAAAAAAATACCAACACATTAAGTTTACAATTACAATGAGAGGTATATAAATATATGAATTAAATTTGATAGGTTAGTGCTTTTGTAAACTTAATAAAATATTTTCAAGTGGAATAATATTGGTGTCATAGTTAATAATAAAAATATTTAATCTAAATGTAATTACAGCCCAACATTACCTCCCACAAGTTCAAGGTTGGTACTGCAGTGTCAGATGCATGATTTCTACAAGCTACAATCCAAGTGTGCCGCCTAAGAGGATCTCTTGGAAATCTGTAATAACAAACCAATAATAGAGAAATTTACTACTTTTTGTAATACTTTATTATAAAATCTAAATAAAAACTACAAACCGGTTCGGCAGACAAACCCGCATGGTTAATTAACTTATCGATAGCTTAAGTTGCGGCGTTCATCACTATAGTGCAATACTTTCGGTTGCAGTGATACCAGTTTATTTTTATAAAAATTGCACACTTTTGCTGCGAGGTAGCAAGTTTCGATTTGACTTATTTGGCCTGTATTTTGTATAATATTTTAATAAATACTAGTTATCGATTATATTTAATTATATAATATTCAGTATCGTGTTAAAATTGAGCTGAATATATAAATCATTTAACAAAATCCACTACACATCTATATGTAATGATTATTATATATCACAAACTGATTTAGTTATTAGGAAATATATTTTCGTTAATATATATATAACTTGTGTAGTAAATTATATTTTTTTTAAATAGATTATTTTTCACTTTATGAACTATGATGGCCACACTCGGTATTGGACGATAATATTCACAAAGTACGAGTTTTAATGATAAAATTACTTTAATATTATGTTGAAAATACTCACAGATGAAAAGTCACATTGTCCTTTTGTATACTTGGCGTTTATGATTGTTTTTTTTTTCATGTAAATACACTGTAATTCGGCATTTTATCGGAGCTCGATTTACTGGCACGATCACTTCGAAATGACGCACGACGCGGAGCAACTAGTTTTATATAACGACCTATATAACGAACCTTTTACAGAGGGGTATGCCTTGCGATGCCGTCTCCTTTGGTTTAATACTCAAAGCTTGCGAGCTACACTCTCACGTGCAAGAGCTCACGTCTCATGTGCGCTCTTATTTACTGAGATTGTAGACAGAGAATCCTATAGACAAATTGACGCCTTCTTTCGCATTCGCACACGAAAAAGATAGATTTATGCATACGTCTTGCATAGAAATGAGATAGAGCGCTGTGATTGTTTGTCCCTTTCTCCGTGCCGGTTTTTTTTGTTTAGCAAACTCTACAGTTTGCTAAACAACTTTAACAGCGTAGCGATTTAAGGAGTTTACAAGTTGGTTTAAGTGAGAAAAAAGTGTTTTGTGAGCTTAAGATCGGTGAATGTTGGTCAGTTCAGTTCTTAGAACAGTTAAAATTTTTATCTAAATGTGTTTAAAAGTCATTAAGATTATTGTATAACCTAAAAATTCGTTATCGTCCTTTCTCACTCGAGGCCACGCCGATCATTAGTCTATAGGTTTCTCTGTCTACGACTGAGATGGATTTCTTGCGCCGACCCGACATCTAGTTGGTATTGTTGATCGAAGCTGCATAAAGTCGAATATATTCTTTTGGGATTACATTCTTCTCTATTTTATTATTTTCAGCCATTTTTTAAACATCAACATTTTGTAACCTTGCACCATTAAATAAACCACCATTTAAAATTGCAGATTATAATTTCTTTGATGTCAACCGTGATTCCCATTTCATCTCCCCCGTTCGTGTCAGATTACCGTCCCTTCGTCATTTTTCATTTTGTATAATGTTAATGTTGTCATTTTGTATACCGCTCTATCTCAATTATACAGACAACTTGAAGCTATAGTGCGGATATCAGAGTCTCTGGCCAAGATGCAGCTCCAGCCATTTGCAACAGAAGCTCATGTGACAGAAGCTCTGCGTTTGTTTCAAGTGTCCACATTAGACGCAGCTATGACCGGAAGTCTAGCAGGTAATTTTATAATTTTTATTTCCTCCTCTTTATCATTTTTATTTTAGGGGATGACAAACGAGCACACAGTCCATCTGTGCTGTGGCCCATGGATATCTACATTTATCCTCAATTAAGAATCAAAATGCAGAATGCATAGTCACCCCTGAGGACTGACATGGAATGCCTCGTTTGCAGTAAAAAGAGTTCTGCCCTTATTTATTTTCTATATTGGCCACTTAGACTTATTAACTGCATAACAAAATGACTAATTAAGAGGATATCCGCTCGGCATTTAGTAGATACAAACGTATTCCTCTGTTGCCTCCCTGATAGACACTTTCCTATGGTATATATTTTTTTTTTTCACTAAACAGATTATTTTAATAACAGAACTTTCTAAAATCTCTAAATTTGTCCAGTTAATACAGTCTTTATAAAACTTCCAGCAAATAAATTGAACGAAAAAAAAAGTAATAACATGCAGGCATAGTCAAAATATTAGTCATGTACCTAGTTCTAGAAAAATATATGACCGACGAAGTCAAGTTTATAACCGACTTCAAAAAAGGAAGAGGTTCTCAATCAACTGTGTTTTTCTTAATATGTTATGATTTACCTCGGATTTTTTTTTCTATGTGAACCGATTTTAATGATTATTTTTATATTTGAAAGCTAGTTCTTCTCATGTGGACCCATATGCATTTGATCAAAATCTAACCAGTAGTTTTTGAGTTATCCTTAATAATGCATATTTAATTGACTTCGACTACATTGATGATGTTCTCATTTAATTTATATTGAAGTCGATTGTACAATTTTTTTAATTTTACCACTTGCCATAGGTGTTGACAGTGCAAGCTGCAGTTTTCTCTCCAGCAATCTATAATTAATGTACTTATACGTGAAAGTTTGGACGACATACGTGACAGCAATAAATATCTAATATAACCTATCCTTCGAAATTTCTTGCAATCCGGATTTTCTCTTAAGTGTTGGCAATTTCATTACTTTCTCAGGTGCCGAGGGTTTCACTACTGAGGAAGACCATGAAATGCTCTCACGCATAGAGAAGCAACTAAAGCGCAGATTCGCCGTCGGTTCACAAGTTTCCGAACAAACTATTATCCAAGACTTTGTCCGACAAAAATATCCCGAGAGAGCTATAATAAAAGTGATACACACAATGATTAGACGCGGCGAACTCCAACACAGACTGCAAAGGAAAATGCTCTACCGACTTTCCTAAACCATGTTGATAACATTTATTAAATAAACGTGGAAAATAGAAACCAATTTTTATTTTAGCTTTTATTATATTTTTCTTCAATACATTATGGATAATTACAGACTAATCTAGTCTTTTCTTTCATGTTAAATACTAAATATTATATAATATATTAAACAATGCTTATAGCATAGTAAAGATATTTATCTGTCAGTTGTACTGACGTAAATTTATAAAAGCTATCTACGGTGGTCTATTGCATAAAACATTAGTCACATTTATAATAAACAAGCAAAAAGACAATCACTATTAACTGAGTCTCATTAATCATTTTATTTTACATCAGGGTCTCGCTTATACATTATCTGGAATGCACTAGTAGCGCATATAGCAGTGGTATCATTACATACATACATACCAAGATATACCCATGATATAAAGAATGTGTTCAAAATCGTTTATAACTATTAAGAACACAATAATTATAATCTATAACTCGCGAAACAGTCCATAGTGACTAGTTAAGAAGGAGACTAGAAAATTATAAATCTAACTTGTAGATAGCAGTTACTCAGAAGCTCTTTCCAACGAGTCAGGAACTTTAAAAGGATATTCTGGATGTTTCTCCACGCCCTTCCAAAACAGAAAATTAAAAATACGCCCGTCTTCACCCTTGTCTAACTTTTTCAAACGATTCAACTCTGCTGGTGTCAACTCGAAGTCATATATATCTGAATTTTCCTAAAACAAAAATGAGTAATGGTTCAGCCCATAACAGTCAATTTAGAACCGGGCTTATGTTGTAGAGAAGATCGGCTATAATAGCCAGGCTTTGCCCGTCGCTGGTTTAGATATTATTTGGATATTACATGTGGTTTAAACAGGAGGGCTATACCACAATCGTATTAGAAGCTATTACTTTTTATTGCGGGTCCCATAATCTTTTATGATAATATCCTTAGTATCATACGGTATAATCAACAACAAAAATCCAAAAACAGTAGAATTATGTAAGAAATTAAGTACATACGATCAACACCGTAAATTATATTTACTGTAATTATTGTTTTTATTAAGTCTCTTGTCTGTCCATTTCTTTCCCCATGAGCTGGAAACTTGAAATTTTGAATATAGCTCAAATTCAGACGACAGTGCAAAAATATGATAAAAAAACGTGGTATTTTTTATTTTATTATTAGTGAGTTGTATTTAGCACCAGTTCGTTTCAAGACCATGCCAGTCAATTAAATTCACTACATTTTCTTTTTGTTAAAAATACAAACCTTTAATCTTGTTTCACTAGTGCTCTTTGGTATAACTACAATCTTTTGATTAACCAAGAAGTTTAAAAGTACTTGTGCTGGAGTTTTACTGTGCTTCTCAGCAATTTCTTTCACATCTGGATGGTTTAACAGATCCGGAAATGTGTCAGGGCTGAAAAAAGCCAATGAGTTACATTTAGTTACGTACAAAAGTAACAATTCGACGCGGACATCGCATAACAGTGAGATTTAATAATATATTTTTTTAAGTGGTAGCTTGGGAGTGCAGGTCGCCGATTGGATGCCCATACGGAAAAAAAGAATACGTATACATAGTACCATATTTTGAGCCCTACAAATACTTGGGAATTTTAAACTAGTTTTTTAATATTTAAAGAATCGGAATATATTCTATATTTCTAATTACTAAAAATCTAATTTAACTTCAAGCATAAAATTTACCAATACCTATGACAGTACACACTAGTTGCGGAGAGGGAACGTTTTATAAAGAAAGGAACTTGGTGCGCTATTATTCTCTCCCTTCTCTGTTTTAAAAAAGTGTGGCCGATGAAGGAAAAGGGGAGATCTCCCACCGGGCAAGGTGGTTCTGCCCGGGGAGCGGCCAACACGGTTCTGCCCGGGGAGCGGCCAACACTCCATGTGATAGTTCGGAGATGTTCTATATATACTGTTTCTGATTCGGAATGTTAATAGCGCGATTTAGGCGTCGGTGTGTTTCGGTGTGCTAGTGGCGCGACGACAGCGCCGCTACAAAAGAAACGGTATTCTACTGCTTCAAGTTATCTTTAGCAATCACTTGTAAGATGAAAACTAACCAGTTGCCTATTTCTGCTGATGTCGACCGTAATTAATAGTGATAATACCATATCTTTATATCGCTATTACATGAATATGTTACTATGATAATATTATATAAATATTGAAAAATAAACTTTTTTAATATTATTTAATTAAAAGTATCTATATAATTATACAACTGATAAAGAAACTCGGAGCAGATAGCTAAGTTAAAAGTTTTGCGAACGCACGTTTTCAGTTTACATTTTTAGCTCTCCTACTAAATTATAACTAGTGATCGGATAATTGGATGCATATTTACCTAAAAGTGTAGGTGTCGGTTATTATGGAATGTACTTCACTTTTGTATCGAAAAAATCCCGGGATTTCGGAATCAACAAATTTACTATTTTTATTATAGAATGCCAAATCGGTTGTAGGTAGTAGAAAATACATATTTTTAGTTGGTATATTTACTTATTTTAACTTTTTTATATATAAAAAAGCTACAAATAACTTCCTCTTATTTTTTTTTAGTTAACACCCACTACCTACTACTCCTCTTACACTCAACCATAGATTACTGTGTATATGCTAGAGACTCAACATAGTGTTGCGCGGCTAAGTTGACATCTGGCACTAGCGCCATGTGGTGTCGGGTAACAGAGCGAGGAGAGAGCTTTCCAGAAAATGACATGACTAATTTTTCAACCGACAGCGGCATCTAGTATCGAATTGAGGAACTAAACTTTCTAGAAGCTCTACACTCGAACTTTCGGCGCCTGGTCGGTTGGCGCGCGTATTTACTTGAATATTCTGGATGTTTCGGTAATAATGTGTATTTAAAGGCGCTGCAATACGCGATCGGGGCAGTATTGAATTTGGCGAGACAAGCGAAGCTTCGAAGGGAAATGAAGTGAATCAGTGTGATTAATTGTTAGTGTCTTAGTAAAGTGAATTAAAGTGTAAATTTTGTTAATTAAATCGCAGTTTTTATTGTCACGAACCCTAAGCTCGTAACAATACTCACAAATTGATAGGGAGTTTAAAATTAACTTCAAATAAATACACATTAATAATTATGTAATCCTCCTATTTTTTTTAATAAAGATTATTTTCGCGTTCCCGAATCTTCTGGAATGCCGGGATTTATATTTAAATAAAATGTTTTAAGAAATCGCTTCCATAATTTCCTAGCCAAAAATGAACTTTAGGTAAATATGCATCCGATTATCCGATCACTAATTATAACACAAAATACCATGCGGACTTACTTGTAGTTGTACTTGTTGACAAAGTGTTCCTTGGCACCGGGACTTCCCAAAGGCGCGTATGCCGTTACCACTATATTATTTTCGGCACAAAACCTGCGCAGCTCTACTTGTTGGAAATACGCGTGAAGTTCCACTTGCAACACTTGAGGCTTAATTGTAGCATGCTTCATGATCTTAGATATTTGAGCTTCGTTGAAATTTGATAAGCCAAGGTTACGAATTCGGCCCTCTTTCTGACACTGTTCCATGACCTGAATTGTTACACTTTATTTTTAAACTATTAACTATTTAAAAATATCATAAGTGGGATAATCCGTTCCTATAGGGAAATTACGAGCACTTGCTGATCGTATCTTACTAGGTATTAGGACCTATTCCTGCCGCCAAATAGTGCCTACATTGCCATGTCCTGGTCTAAAAAGTGCAGAGCCAGTATTGAGGCATTCCAGCTTAGTCCTCAGAGGTGGTAACATAACGTGTAGGCTCTTTAGTAGGAAGTTGGTTGGAGGTGCCCATGTACAACAGCAGCCACTTAACATCAGGTAGACTGTAAAATCACTTCAATTTTATAAAAAATATTATAAAATGATAGTACCCGTTTAACTTCTCCATTTAATAAAGATATCTATAGTTACGTTGCAACCATCCGCTAATTAAATACAATGATGTGTCTTACCTAGTTTGAAGAGCACCTTCCGCCCTCTCTCAATTGCGTGCACTAATCCCGTCGCCACTACTCCCAACACCACTATTCTAGGAAAGACACACCATCAACGATAATAAGACACGTGTTTCGCCTCTACACGGGGCATCCTCAGGGGATGTAGACTCTACGGCGACTGACCGCTAAAGCTGTAGAGTCTACATCACCTCAAGATGCCTCGTGTAGAGGCGAACTCTGTATTTTTTGTGTGTATCTTAAGCAATATCTTCATCAGAATTCTCAGTAGCAGCCCGGGGTCAGAAAGTTGCCGGTGTTTCACCGCCGTGCCTCGGAAAGCACGTAAATCCGTAAATCCTGCGCATGATCTCTCCGGTCCTGTTGGATTACCGTCCCATCGGAATATGGAAGTGAGGGAATAGAGTGTGCACCTGTGCTTGCGCATACACTTGGACATTATAATCATGTCCTGCGCCGATAGCTAGTCTCCGTTGAGGCTGGCCGGAGGACGTACGAAAAGAATATATTCAAACTCACCTTCCAAGTACTAATGTGATCGGTTTCCATATCAAGGTCATATTCGCCATTATCTTTGACAACTGGCGTTAAAGTATCTGGATTACAATGGAAACCGAACGGGACGTGAATCAAATATAAATCCACATATTGCATTTGCAAACGACTCAGTTGCAGGTCCAGAAATTTTTTAACATCAGACGCTCTATTTCCAACATGAGGGAGCTGTAAATTATTAAAATTTACTAATTGACGTCTTCAGCTTATTGCTTTATTATGTCGTAAGATATAATCCTAGCTAGTTCCAATAATATCGCAAGTAGGTATCAAAAATAGATTAGCAAAGAGCTCATAATACGTACTGATAGTTTTTTTTACTATTATTCCCAGCTGATGGTAAGTGGTGATGCCGCCGAAGATAGTAAAGCGCAATGACTTAGCTTAACAAACACCTATTATTTCTTGCCTTGAAGATACCACATTATTATCGGGTGGAAACACAGATGCTGGCAAATAATTTCAATCCTTTGCAGTACGCATTATAGAACGAAGAAGCAAACCGTTTAGTTCTAATGCGTGGTATGTCAACAACAAAGGTGCGAAAACCAGCCGAACGTCTGGTGGTCTGGGTCTGAAGATGGAATGGATGATGGAGAGGGAGGGATGAAGATATGCAATTACTACGTACACTCTCAGAAATGTATCCTGTTAAATACCCAAAACGTTACCACTTTGCGTCTGAGCTAGAAACTAAGTAAAATTGGTTGTAACCATATTGGTGTCACCAATAAGCATCTTAACACACCTTTCCATTGAATCCAAAGCCGCTAGCTGACATTTTGATAGACCGGTAACTTAACCGCGCAATGGAAGCTCAAATACTAAAAGTACGAGTGGTGTCATTATACAACTAAAGGTGAGTCTACGCTAGACGAGCCAAGCATGAGCCGAGCATAAATTCGTGTGGTGTGGACTGACTTACAACCGAGCGTTTTGTTCGTGTTCGACAGTTCTCCGCCTACTGTCGGCTTTTTGACGAACACAAAGGGATTTGCATCGCATGCATCAATTTGAATGTTGTAGGCTCGTTGTACGTTCACACTTAACACCGCGAGTAGAGCGGCTCAGCTTGTGCTCTGCTCTTGCTCGGCTCCTCCAGCGTAGACTTACCTTACAGTTAATGACAATATCTAACAATAGCTATCAACAGCCACTACGTCTATGTACCCATTTTTCAACATGCTCTTGAATCGAATGAAACTGTTAGGTACTGCGGCCTGCGCAGGAGTGGTCACACCGCGTATCGAAACGCTCTGGTACTAGCTGCATGTTTTCACAAGGTCACCATCAAACAGCAGTGTACAAACTGCTGTGCGCTGGTTTGAAGGACGAGAGCCTATTCTTTGGGTAAGAGAGTCCCTATAGTTACAGGTGAGCAGTATTGCAGCATGAATTCACGCCGCCAGAAGCTAGAGTCAAAAATATACACTCCCCATCCCCTCACATTCTTTCAAGTATAATATTTATATTATTTAGATATAAAGCAAATATTTTTAGGATTTACCTATTCAAAACAAAGTCTTCTCTAATACAGTATAAACTCATAAACGTAACACTCTCTACAGCATTAAACGTATGTTGGCGGTGTAATGATAGAGATCAATTCTGAGATCCTTCAGCGATTCTGCCACAATGATAATGTCATCGGAAAATCGACGGTGAGTGATGTTCACGTGTAGATGTCGATACCGTGCCCTTTCCAGTTCAGTAGCTTTTTCTTATGGTATAAGGGTGACGAACGGGCACACAGTCCAGCTGATGTTAAGTAAATGCTGTAGCCCATAGATCTTCATTACTCATCAATTAAGAATCAAAATGCAAATGCGTTGTCACCCCTGAGGACTAAGATGAACTCGTTTCTAGTAAAAAGGGTCCCCCGATCGCTATACTCACCATACGAAACACAACAACAATAAGCTAGTATTTACGCTGGTATTCTGTGAGAGCGTGGTCCTTCCCCGGTCGAGCCGACCCATTCGTGCTACAACTATAATATAGCTGCAGCTTGAAAACGTGTTCTAATGCAGCGGTGAAAAGTTTCGCGGACCTAACCTCCAATTTTTTTTTAATCTTGTTTATCAGCATGTAAACGCCCACAGCTGGTCATGGGCTCATGGGATTCCTTTTGTAGGAGCATTCGCCTTAATCATCACACACATTAAGTAGGCGGATTTTTTCAGCTTTTTATTTTTTATTTATTTTCTAGACACCGTACTTTTTAGCTTTCAAAAAAGAGGGGTTCTCAATTTGACCGTATGTTTTTTAGTATGTACTATGCTAGGCGATATAATTTTGATGATGCCGTTTTTATTAAATAGGTTCTATTTTATAAATTAAGCCTCAGGGGTTGACATATAAAATTAAAGAAAAAAAATGGCAAAATAGAAGATAATTTATTAAATGTAACTATTTGACGAAAGCCGTGGTAGCTCAGATGGTTAGCGCTCGCTGTAAATTTCACAGTACGCGAGCAACCTGAGTCCGATCAACGCCGGCACCAATGAAATTGTTAATTGCAATTTTAAGTGCTGAAATAAGAAAAACATATTTCGGAGACAAATGAAGTTCGCCAACAAGCATTGGGGCAGCGCGGCGGACAGTTATTTTTTTTTTTCTTTCCTTGCCCTAAAACCCTCACAGAAATGAGAGGAGGCCTGCGCTCAGCTGTAGGACGTATATAAGCTGTAACTTTTTTTTATTTGACGATATTCTAGTCATTGCCTTAAGGCGACACCGTGAAAAAATGCGCCTCCTTTCATCGAATAGTATAAAGACTTTGACACCACTAAGGAAAGTGAAATTTTGATATAGGTAAATACATGTCTTTATCTCGAATTTGATTGTTCAAAAACACGATTGTATAATTTTGACTCGATCATAATTATTTGCGAAAACACCTCTAAAAATCACTATAGTTGAAATTACAACGAAATTACTTAATCTATATGCTTGGAAATCACTCAAATATATACATAACATCAATATTCATAATTTACTTGCTCATTATTTTGATTACTTAAATCAATAATTTAAAAAAAAATATTTTAAAGTTTCTGAGAATTTCTAAGCGCTTTTAATCGTCGCGGGCGCTACGCTATTTTAGACCTTATGACGGCGTTTTTCAAGTTTTTATAGAAATTATGCATTCACTCGGATCAGTATGGCGATAGCCTTTTCGATGTGTCGTCATAAGCATGTGCAATTGGCATTATTATATCCAAATATATCTTGGACGGGTCAAAAAAGAGATTTTTTTGAATTTATAAAGTATTTTAAGATGTAATTATTTTTAAATTATATCATTCCTGTATAACTAATATTTGTCACGATTTAAATAGATAGTCATCGTATGTAATAACTAATACCGAGAAATTCAATGAATTTAGTCATTGCATTAAATTAAAATACTCATAGAATTCTATAATATGTATGTATTTTAGTCACAGAAATCTGAATAATATTTAGATTTCTGTGGTTATAGCATTCTATGAAAATACTTACCTTGGTAGTAATAAATAAATCCTTTCTATTGCCTTTTCCATCAGAAATCCATTGTTTTATAGCTTTGCCTATGGCTTCTTCGTTATTATAATTAAAAGCTGTATCTATATGCTTATAACCTAAATCTAGAGCTTTATAAACAGTTGATTCGATAACATTTGCAGGGGCCTGAAATTTGTATTTTCTTTGTTAGATGTATAATAAAAACACAATTTGTTCCTATTACCTTGAAAGACAAACCTGCCATGTACCCAAACCTAATGTAGGCATTAAATCGTCAGTCTGAGACAGAGATATATGCTTCATAGTTTTCATATTTCTGTAAAAACGGCTTGGTTGGACTTTTAACTTTAACCACTCTCTTCCTCCGCAACTCGTAATATAATTTTTTACACAGAATCTGACAGACATATATTTTGGCAATGAGCCAAAAAAATTCTGTAGCGATACAAAAATAGTATATTTGCTTGTTTACTGAAAAGTGTAACAAAATGTATGCATGTATTTATATTTAAATTAATATACAGTAATCTATAAATATATGTTTAATTTAATATTCGCAACGTCCGGGTTTGTCAATGTTATTGATTTTTATGATATAGAATTTTGATTTTTAAATTTCCCGCTATGAATTCGTTTAGAAATTATACCTTAGTCCATTACATTTTACCTTAGTAAATATAACTAAGACGTAATGTTTATACAAACTTACGTTTACCTACTTAATGAAAATAAAATATTTTATATCTAAATATAATGGATTGATCACATTGATTTAACAAAATAATAAAATTTAGTTTTAATAAAAATGAACGTAGTCTTTAGAATGTCTATACCACAGAGTATATTATAGTCCGAGACGTAGAAAGAGAAACCTATAGACAAATTGACGCCTTCTTTCGCTTTCGCACAGGAAAAAGATAGATTTATGCATACATCTTGCATAGAAATGAGACAGAGCGGTGTGATTGTTTGTCCCTTTCTCCGTGCCGGTTTTTTTTGTTTAGCAAACTACACTTTGCTAAACAACTTTGACAGTTCGTTGCGATCTAAGGAGTTTACAAGTTGGTTTAAGTGAGAAAAAAGTGTTTCGTGAGCTTAAAATTGTTGAATCTTGTTCAGTGCAGTTCTTAGAACAATTAAAATTTTTATGTAAATATGTTTAAAAGTCATAAAGATTATTATGTATAACCTAAAACTACATTATAGTCCTTTCTCACTCGAGGCCACGCTAATCATTAGTCTATAGGTTTCTCTGACTACGGTCCGAGACCGCTCAACATAGAACTATGGAATGTAGAAGTAAGGAGTACAGACTGTGCATTAAAAGTGTCCATAAAAACCTTTAAATAAGGGTGGCGCCACGGGGTACAGCTACGGGGTAAATTTCAAATATTAGTGGGATAAACGAATTTTTCGAGGCTATATTTACTAAATAAAATTATTTTAGAGCTACTGATCTGTTTAGCAGCACACTTAAACCGGCGACAACTGCTAAGTTCATTTCATCCCAATAGCTACTCCAGCGCTGGTGTGGAGAGTTTTTGGGCTGTTATTTACTGCTTACAGATAACCACTTTTTCAACTATTCTACTATGGGAGTTGGTACTCCTTACTTCTACACTCCATAATGGAACCTCCATGCCCATGAAGGTTAGAGAACAGGAAAACGATCACAATGTACTAAAGCATAGCCTGTCCTTGAAAATTGTAGAATTTATAGCGGAGCTGACGTCGGGGAGTAGTGACTGCACAGTTAGCTGTTTCTGAGTACAAGTAGATGAAGTTAGTTGAATAATGTACAAATTTTCATTTCATTTTTTATGAGAAAATTTTCATGCTTCATAATTTTGTAATTTTTGACAAAAAGAAACATTAAAAAATGGAGAAATATTTTATTGTGCGTGGATGGGCAAGTGGTTTAGCATCTGATCGGAAGAATAGACTGAAAATGACTTTTATCGACAGAGCTTAGTGATCGCAGTGCCTCACTTACGGTGTCCATATTTCTGGGACACTATTTTCTACGGCGATCGTTCTCCTGGTCTCTAACCTTCATGATTTTATTACGTCTATTTTTTATTTTATTTTTAAGTAACTTTACGGCTCTAGGTTCTAGCCCTTCTGAGCCTATCATTTCCCTCGGAATCTTCATTTCTATATACTTTTTCTTCACAATATGCCGATGCGTTGCATCGTCAAATTTTTGGGAGATTTTGACAAAAGCTCAACCCAGCAGACAGTTGATGACAACAGCCACTCAAGTTTATAAGGCGCCCAAACGATCAAAATGACTTGAGGTTTATATCAACATCAAAGCACTTGTTTCGTCGTTTTCTCTAATAGTTCACTTAATTCACAAAATCGCATCCCTTTTTCGAATCAAAATCCACTTGAAACCATTATTCAAGCGACTAAACAGGAGCGACAATCCGTCTACGGCCAAGTTCCCGCCAAAACTCCCACAGACAGATCTTAATCTTATTACTTTTTGAGGCAGATTATGCTTGGGTTAAAAATATCGATTAATCGAAATACTGTCACTCGATATTTATTTTAGACTGAGTAACCAATTGGAGAGGCCACGTGCGTTAATTCCTAAAATGAAAGTATGTCAATATCAGGGGGGCGCAAAAAAACCACACTACTGTTATACATCACAACAAACGTAAAATTTAATCGCGTCACTATACACGCACACTACAGCATTTGTGTTTGTGTTCATTGCATTTACACATACCATCAAATTGGAGGAGGGCAAAGTGTATCATTTTTCCGATTGGAACATTTGCATCTCGATCACTGAAATGATCCGAAACACTGATATGTTTGGCTCATTTGATTATCGACTAAGATATAAAATACAGAATGTTACGAATACATTGAGTCGCGGGCGTTTATTACTGATTGTTCAGTGAAATGTTATGTGGCAACAATGCTAAATGATATGTGTTTAGGTTATTTTTATTATTTACTTTTTATAGGGACAAAATCTGCTGTAGCCTAGACATCAAAATCTATCCTCGATTACGAATCAAAATGCAGATCCCTTGTCACCCGCCCGTGAGGACTAAGATCACTGACCTCTATGTATATACAGCATGTAACATAATTAACGCACATCCTGAAAGTAGTTTGTCCAGAATTGTTTACTGAATCGATTTCTATCATTATTAATATAATTTTTATCCCAAAAATTATTAAAACTACGTAAAAAACTCAAGGCTATAAGACTTTTAAAAGAGCAGTTTTATTTTTTTAATACAAATTCCGTCATTCAATACAAAATAAAGAAAAATTAACCTTATCTTATTCAAGCACGTTAAAGTCTTTGTGTTCGTGAATATGTACTGTGACCACAACATTCTTCCGGAATTAGTACAACCAATTTAATAAATAATCAATGCGTAAATATCATATGTTTAACTAAAAAGTCAGTGTGTGAAATCGATTCAGTAAACAATTCTGGACAAACTACTTACAGGATGTGCGTTAATTATGTTACATGTTGTGTAGAGGTCACTGAATAAGATGGAATGCCTCGTTTCCAGTAAAAAGGGTCTCCGGTTCTCTAAAAGCACCATACGAAACACAGCAGCATTAAGCTGCTATTTTACGCTGGTATTCTGTGAGAGCGTGTTACTTCCCCGGTAGAGCCGACCCATTTGTGCTACAACTATACTACTTGTAATGATAATTGTAAAATTAAAATAAAGTCAGTACTAGCCAGAACACCGTGTTTGATTGACGCACGTCACACATGACATGGCGCAGTGGGTAATTTAAATTTTAAAATGGAACAAAGATACGCACAAATAGAAAAAGAATTGTATGCTTGTGTATTTGCTTGCGAGAGATTTCACGCTTATATTTATGGTAGAACTGATATTACGATAGAAACGGATCATAAACCTCTGGTGAGCATTATTAAAAAGCCCATCGTCGATTCACCAGCACGTTTGCAACGGATGTTGTTAAGATTACAGCGTTATACATTCAAACTAGTATATAAACCGGGCAAACACTTGTACATAGCCGATGCGTTATCACGTGCGTACGAACCGACAGTGCTAAGCGCACTTCATCCGAGTACCGATTCGCTGCATGATGAGGTGTGTGCTGTGCAACGACAGGCCGTCTCACGAGTCACCGACGACATTACAGACGTTCAGTTTATGCAACTGCAAAAATACACGGAAACTGATAACGAGTTAATAAAATTAAAGAAGTATGTGCTAAAAGGCTGGCCAAGTGTCAAAGGAGAAGTGGATGATATAGTTAAACCGTATTGGAACTATAAAGAGGATTTGTCTTTTGTACATGGGTTAGTTTGGAAAAATGAGAGAATTATTGTTCCTAAAATATTAAGAAAATAATTTTTCAACTAACTTCATATAGGCCATATGGGTCTCGAGAAATGCGAACTAAGAGCGAGATAAATTCTATTTTGGCCAGGGCTAAATAATGACTTCAATGTCATGAAATACCGGATAGACTGTGGGCAAAAATAGGAGTAGATTTATTTAAAGTTAAAGACCAAAATTATTTGTTATTAATTGATTATTATAGCAAATTTTTTGAATTGGTCGAATTGCAGTCAACTCATTCATTTTCTGTTTTACATCTTTAAAAAATATATTTTGTAGACAGGGTATACCCTATATAGTCATGACTGACTGTGGTCCACAATTTACATCGAGTAATTTTAAACAGTTTTCATCAGAATGGTATATCACTCACATAACTTCATCGCCGCGTTACGCCCAATTAAACGGACAAGTTGAACGGACCGTTTAAACAATAAAGAATATAATTCTGAAGTCCACCGCGGAAAGGCAGGATTATAGGTTGGCTTTATTAGAATATTTAAACACTCCTTTAGATGAAAACTTGCCTTCTCCGGCGGAATTATTACAGAGTAGAAAATTGAGAAGTATATTACCTATGTCTACAAAATTTTTAAAACATAAAACACAAAAAAATATTTTAAGTAAATTAAAAGAAAAACAACTAAGACAAAAGATGTATTATGATCGCAATGCAAAAAATTTGCAAAAATTAAATGTCGGGCAGAGTGTAAAAGTGTTACTAGACGTACGAAAGTGGATATCCGGGATTATTACAAGAAAAATAAGAGACCGCTCATATGAAATTGAATTAGTTACCGGTAGTAAAATAGTTAGAAATAGGAAACATATAATAAAAGATTCGCCAAACAGACATGACACTCCTAACTATAACTTCGAATATGATGACGTTAATGCCAGTGTATCTCATAACAACCAAAATAAGTACTCAACATATAG